ATGTAAGCGAATTTGGAAGTTATTGAGTTGTTTTTATTTTCCGCGCTCAGGCTGACGTAAGTAACCGGAAGTGAAATTTCACCTCCTAAGCAACGCGCGCGAGCGCGCGCATAAATCGGTTGATGGGCTCTTAACCGTAAAGCTGGATTTCCACTATCAAGTAAAAATTTACGTAAGTAAAACGTGCGCAAAAAAAAAAAACATACGTTGCTAATTTCCACTGTAGCGTAAAAACGTAAAAGGACGCGCTTTTTTTAATGTGCGTTGAACGTACGTCAAGGCGCACGTAGACGGGAAGTCACGAGGACTTATTCAAAGTAATGGCGGCAGCTGTAGATAAGCGTTTCCTTCTTCTCTTTCACCTACGACAAAGCCGAAAGAGAAGAGAAAATACCTCAAGAGACTACATGGGCTCCTGGTAAGAGAGATCTTTCATAATCGCTTCCCAGTGGGTGAATACCATACTATGACCACGAGTCATTTTACAAATGCTTTCGGATGACACCTGAAAGGTTAGACCATCTCCTTTCTCTTGTGGTCCCCATGTTGTCGAAGAAATCGTTGTACCGTGAACCCATCAGTCCGGGTGAACGTCTTTTTGTCGCTCGACGTTTATTCTCTACAAACTATATCATTTAGCTATCGCCTTGGTCACACAACTGGAACAAGGAAATTTTCGAACTTCCTCGATACCTCACTGGTTCTACGTCTGAATATTTTCCCATTTTCACGGCGCTTTCAAACAAAATGGCGTCCACTTGCAGGAACTCTGTCATGTGAAAAAAATCTAAGAATGCCATTTGTTGAATCGTTGCGTAAACGCAGACGGACACGAAAAAGTCCAACTGTCAACTTTTTGAAAGAAGCTCGCGATCTCTACGCTGTGCGTCTACGTGCGGTAAACGTGCGTAAATTTCTGGAAAAAAAAAGGCGGCGCTGGAAATTGGGTTTCAACCGAGAATTTATATTATGTCCTTGACATAGGAGATCATCCAACTGCGGTGAAATGTTTGCCGATAGCAGCGGAAAGTTTCAGGTGAATGTCCGGTTTCAAGTGAAAGTCCGGTTCAATCTTTCAACTGGACGGCAGAAAGGCCAAGCTCAGTGAATTTATATTTGCTGACTTGGACGATGCTGTTGAGCGGCGAAATCACTAACACGCTCGCAGTCGGGTTGGAGGCGGAAAGCTTTGCCAAACAAAACACTGAATAAATTTAAATCTTTCCAAAGCCTGTTGGCAGATTCACAAGAACATAACGGCTTGCGAAGCGCGATTCCAACGCTTCGATTTGATCTGGTACCGCTTCGATTTGCTCCGGTTCCAAAACATTCCTGCAAGACGTCACACGTATCTCGAATGTTGACAACACGTTGTAAACGCTCCCAACATAAGCCAATCATATTTTTACGCATTCTCGTCCCCAAAGGCCGCGCTCCTTTTGGTCAGCGCCAAAAATCACGACCGCTGTATAGGTCCAGTGAGATTCCGGTTCTGATTGGCTTTGCAAACACAATAGAATGAGACAGGAACCAATCAGATTTGTCAGACTTGACTATCAGCATGCGCAGAGTGACGGAAAGTCCGTGAATTGCGGACTTCCGGTGCTGGACCCGGCCAGAGGTCGTAATTCTTGGTGCTGACCAAAAAGAGCGCTGCCTCGTGAGAGCAACGCATAATTCAAACTCTTGGGCTTAGGCGGTAGTCCCTCCTTTCGCGCGGCCATTTTTTTCTCGCGGTTTTCTTTCGCGTCACGCACGACGGACTAAGCGAAAGAGGGTCTACTCGTAGTTTATATCCATGGGCTCTATGCGTACAAATGAGAGAGCTCCCCGCAAGCCGTCCCCACAGCATGTCCCCTAGTGTGTGCCGAACTTAAAAGAAACAGTCAAGATAAAAAAGCAGATACACTATATATATATATATTTTTTTATCACTTTAAATTAAAATTGCATTCATCTTTCATATCGCCTCTGTTCGCTGCTTATGGATTCAGTAATTTCGGTAAATCACGCGTTTCACGCTGTCAAATTAAAATAATAAAGAATAAAAATGGATTATATCCCTTTGTGTTGTTAATTGATTTTTTTTCTTATGTTTATGTCCGCGTGGCCTTGACAACAGTGAGTTTCAGCCGGAGTCACGCACAGATTTACTCAATACTTAGTTATGAGAATTTGGCGGCAAAACGGTGATTGAAAGGAGAAATAACGAAGAGAACTTACTGCCTAGTTGATTTGATTGATTTCTTTATTCTCGACACTTGTCTTGACAGCGATTTTCCTATCGCCCACGCGTTCCCATGACGTGAAAAGGCCGAGGAAAATAGCGCATGCGCTTCGGATGGACACAGTAATCCACCTGGTTATATAACAATAAAAGCTTCTATAACAGTACAGTTCTATTTGCATTTTGATATTGAGTAGATTGTTCACAAATTGAAGCCAGAATGCTGTATAATTTTTTCGATCGACCTTGTGAGCTTATTGGAACTGTCGGTTGATGGGTCCTTAAATAAAACCGCTCGAAATTTTCATGCTTTATTTCAACGCATGCAAATCTGGCGACTCTCAAACCATTGGACAAAGTGCAAAGTTTGCAACAGTTGCCTTGGTTGCGGCTTCATAATAGGAAAAACGAAACAAAAGAATAACAATTAATTCGTTTTTGTGCCTGTGTCATAATATACGGCACACCCCTTAAGAATTGAGTGATCGAGCTCCCTGGTTCCTCTTCTCTTCTGTTATTTTAGTGACAAAATCGAGATTATACCGCGATGAACGATCAAGTGGAGGAAGGCAAGGCGAAGGCGGCCGGAATCGTTGGCATTCTGATTGGAGTAATAGCGTTAATCGAGCTGATATGTGGATTTATCTACCTCAGCAAAGGTGGCCCCGAAGGTTCTGGCCTGTGGTCTGGAGTTGGGGTAAATAATTGTTGTTTTGCACTAATATTTTTTTCGTTGTCCGGCCGTTAGGTCTATAAATTAGTTTTCAGAGTTTACTTTCTTCGTTTCATCTCAACAGACGACTGATTATTTATGTTAGATGGTGTTCTAGTGCACGTTTCTTTTAGTAGTATCAGGATTCCGTATTTATATGCCGCCAAAGATTTCGTTTACACTGACATAGCATGTTGAAAATGTCGCTTTGTATTCTCTTTTAATTACGAAACCTTTTGCTTAAATGGTTTTCCACAACTTTAAAATAATGTTTGGTGGCCTCGTTGGACAAAGTTCTGATTTCAAAGATTGTCGGTTTCTTTCGTGCTTTTCGCCTAAAGCGGCAAAAAGTGTTCAGCAACACGGAGAAGTTAATTGCATTCCGCCTACGCTGCGACCATGGGGTTGCGCACAGACGGTTTCTGAAAATTTGTGTACGTAGATTTGAAACCATCTGCAGTGTCGCCGTTCTGGTGAAGATATTAAACGAGCCATTACTCATTTTTAGAGAAGACCACCTGGGAAGGAAGGTAAATAACAACTTATGACCGAAGATGCATTCGAAAAAAAATGTGACGCTTTCCTCTAGCTACAGAACTACCGCTAAGAATAAAATAAACAGGTGTTTCCTTTTTTTGGAGGTAAATAACGGCTCATTGGCAAGTAGAGCGACGGTAACTTGACCGATGTTTGCAGTTTGTTTTGATATTGATTTAGCTAAAATATTCAAATTGCGGCGTTTCGGGGGACCAACAGAGAAACAAACAACTGCCTTATACAATAACGCCAGCTGCTTGGTTTTTCATTTATTGAAAACTGGAGGAATCTGTAAGTAGTTATCGGTGCTGCAAAATAACTGAGTTTTCTCTGATATCACTTGATGTATTGTGATTTAAATAATCGGGCAACTGTTGAATTTTTATCAGGGCTGAAGTCTGCACGCATAGGTGAGAATGATTTAATACTGCGCTACAAAGACAGATGTGTACTGTCAAGAGTTATATGTAATCGTTTAACAGAACGTTACAGTTAAGGATGGCAATGATCCATAATCAAAATAAACACGAAGTAAATGAGAAAATATCAAGTGAAAATCCTTTTGTGTGGCATGAACAAATTATTCGTTGATGTAATGTGACAGTTCTTGGTAGTTACGATTGAAAAGATTGCTTACGGGTCCAAACACGACCCGCAAAATTAACAATTTATATGCGACGCAATTAGTCTTGAAGTAATTTCCATTTTTATTGTAGTGCTCAAAACGAAGGATTATGTTTCTAAGTCTTAATCATTCCAGTTTGATGTCAACCCAAGGATTTTTTCACACGAAACACTGTGTCATGGGTAGCTCAGCCGCGTTTGATTCTATAACTAAATCGTTCTTCCTAGCGTCACGTTCTTTCTTTCTTACTTTTCTGTTTTTACCTTGAACAGTCTCCAAACGGGCCTGGCGTGGGTACACAGTTTTTGACATGAAATGAGATCATAATTCATAAATCAGGCATGCCTGGATGCGCGAACATATTTGTTTTCTTTTTCCTTCGCTCGCGCTTTTATTTTTGAGAGTACGGCTGCGTTATGCATATATCGATCATGTCCTCTGGCCTTGACGAAAATCTTTGAACTTAGGCCGACGTGAAAACAAAATAGTAAGAACAAAACACAGAACAAAAACACCCACAAAAGGTAATAAGTTAAGTCGTATAAGTTCCACGGAACCAGCTAATTATTCAGCAGACAGGTTCACTTGACTACGAGAATGTTCTTTTGTTCCACATGAGGAAAGAGTACTTTAACGTTCTGGTTGAAAGAATGGTCAGCATCCACTAATAATATTCATGTATGAGAAGGATTTGAGTCCACTTCAAGCTTAAACTCTGAAGACCACACTGACGTTGTGTAAAGTGCTCATAACCTTTTTTTTTTTTTTAAATTTTTCAGGTTCGAAACTACTTTCTCTAAATGATAACATAAGGCAACCTCGTTCCCAAGGTCTCTTATCTCCCTCCCTCCCGGAACAGGAAGAAGAGAGAACTTGGGAACGAGCTTGACATAAGGACTAACGGAGTGCTCAGAACGTAGACTTTTAAACCAAGTGAAGATTCTCACTATTGGGCTTTCCGCGATTGGATAGTTTTTTTGTCAAATGGCCGCAAGCTTCGTTGCCGAATAGAAAACTTCCTTTTGTGCCCCAAAAAAGCGTAAACGCGAATGCTGATCAGTGATACAACGGATAGTGATAATTTATCGTTGCTTGGCGGATGCTCATGGTGTTACAGCAGAACGAAGAGAAACGCATAAATACTCGTGTTTAAAGGAGTTACCTCACGGTTTGCGGGAAAATCTTGAAAAGTCTAGCCTACGTCAGTTTCAAGTCCTTGGCTTGTAATCCGTGTTAATCTTCTTCATCTTTAGCCATCCTTGTTCCTTTATGGTTTATTATTATTATTATTATTATTATTATTATTATTATTATCACTAT